GGCAGAGGGAGAAGCAGGCTCCCAAGGAGCAGAGAGGCCGCTGCGGGACTTGATCCCAGGACCCTGGGATCATGACCTGAGCCGAAGGCAGACGCTTAACCATCTGAGCCACCCAGGCGCCCTCTTTCTTTTTTAAAAAACACTGTCCTGAAAGACAGTCTTAGGCTGTATATTTTTGAAAAAACAAAACAACACCCACGCCCCCAGACAAAGAAAATGGCTGAGATAAATATGAGGGCAACTCCTTGGTTTTTTAGCATAGATAATAAAAAAAGTTTCCTCAGATGTTCAGCAATATTTTTTTTTGTCTAATTAGATATATCAACCTTCCCACAGCATAAACCTTCTCTCCCACTTACCAAATATTTCCACATAAAAAGCTCTTTGAATAAATTTAAAAAAAATCTTAGAAAAGCACAAAAAGAATAATTCAGAGATCAAAGACTTTAAAATGACCGACAAGGATAGGTTTCGAATCCTATAAAAAAACCCCAGCATTGTCCTCTGACTGTTTTTAAGCTTAGCCCTTGAAAATGCTTATTATCGGTCATGGGAATCAGAGCTGATAGGCTGGCTTAGCATTCTAACACAAATTCTGGACAATTAGTTTGAATGGATTGGGGGTGGCATCTTCCCAAATAAAGACTAATATATTTAATCTCAAGTAGAGCAGATGCTTGGGCTGGCAGCGTACTTGCCCTTTATACCTGGTGTTGAAGGAGTTTTAGACGATCTAGCAGTTCATTCAGCTTCATATCCTGTTCAGTCATTGTCTTCTGAAACTGCCTCTTTTCCTTTTCTGAACTTTCAAGCTTCCTCCGGGCCTCAGAGAGTTCTAATGTCAGCTCCTCTATCCGCTTCCTAAAGCAAAATGGCAACAACAGGAAGACAGACTCTGGTGTCTGTGTTGGCAGATGGTTAGCCGGCTGCATGGGGCTTGTTATCTCATTCCCAGGCAGCTGCTGCCGTGTCCAGACTGGCTCACCAGAGACAGAGCCTCTCTCTGGAGGTAACACAGTAGTACCTGTTGGGTGCGAGTTCCTCTCCAGCCATCAAGGAATCCTTCTGCAGCTTCTGAAGCTCTCTCTGCAGCTCCTGAATGGTCTCCGTCTTCTGCTTCTCCAGGAAAAGGTAGCTTTGCAGTTTCCTCTGTGCATCCTCCAGGTTACTCTTTGCCAGAAGGGTCTCTTCTTTGTACTGGGCAGCTTGCTGAGCTGTGGAACCCAGCAGACAAGTCAGGCACATGTGCATGGGAGAAGGGGGTATGTGTGAAGATCAGACTCTCAAAGAAGACCAGTTAAAAAGTCTGTTCCTTCATTTTGTGACCTACTTCAATTTCCAACCTTTTCTCTTTTCTCTCCATCTCATTATCACTCCTAAGGAGCCCTGTTAAATGATCTGTCTTCAGCTATCCCTGAGCCGTGGACTGCTTCTGGACTAAAGTTAAACAAATCAATATAAATTGCTCAGTATCTCTTACGTGACTCATCCTGTCGATAGGGACAAATCCTGATCCTAACGGAGTTTAGAGTCTTGCGAGGGAGACATAAGTGGCCCACATGACATAGAGAACATAGTCATGTGAAGTGTGCACTCACAGTGAACTCCTGTGAAGCAAGGTCAATGTGGGTGAGAACAGTCGTGGATGGACTTACGGAGGAACAGAGATGGCGCTGGGCCTGAGAAAAAGGAGGAGGAAGGGAATTCCAGATGGGGGGAATGTTAGAGCAAATGCATAGGAATGGAATGGGAGAGGCAAGTGGGAAGAGGATGGGAAGAGATTGGTTTGACTGGAAAGGAAAATGGGAAGGAGTGCTGGGAGACCGCTGAGTGAGTGCATGGATAGGAGGGGGTTTTGGAGGATTTTGAAAGCCAGAGAGAAATGTTCAGAGTTAATTTAGTGGGTTCTTGAGCAGAGACCTGGCATAAAGAGTATTTTAGGAAAATTGAAATGTATTAAATGGAGAAAGACTTCCTACAATATCCTTTTAGTCCCTACCCTTTCCCCTACTGGGTATAAAGGGAGAAACATCAGATAAGTTGCTTACTGGAGTTTCTCCACACCAAATATGTTCCTATATCCTAAAGTTTCAACTATTGTTTCTGTTTTAAATATCACCCTTGTCTCCATTTTTCAGCCTGGGATACTGGAAGAAAGATGGTGTCACTGCAGAAATAATGATATACCTTGGAAGAAGGAGGAGGAATTTCTTTTCTAAGCAGGGAAGAGAAAGTTCAGTTTGGGGAATGCTGAGTTAGAGGGGAAGGTGGGTTGCCCAGGCGGAGCTACTCTCTAAAGACAGGAGTGACCACAGGTGCCAAGTCAGGGCTGGGGCTCTAGGTTTTGGAGTTGTGCTGAGAAAGAGAGTAGAGGGGGGAGGGCAGAGTTTAAGGGAGGGATGACTATTGTCAGAGAAGGAGGGAAAAGAGGAAACGATGAGATTTGTGAAAGAAGAAGGGACCTGTTACATCTCCAAAATGGGAAACAATTGTTGAGTGTGGGAGGCCAACAACACATCCAGACACACACAGTTAAAGGAGGGTGGGGAAGGAGGCCACAGTATGGACCTTCCCCCCCAAACTGATATGTCACTCACCTAACATAACATTTAACCCTTTAAAGCATACAGGTCAGTGGTTTCTGCAATACTCACAAAGGTATGCAACCATTACCAGTACCTAATTTCTGATCGTTTTCATCCCCCCAAGGGAAAGTCCATGCCCAGGGCAAGAAGTTATCGGTGACCTCTGAGAAATCAATTTCAGCAGAGCAGCAAGGACATGATCCGCAGCGCAGGCTGCACAGAAAAGAATGTGTTGGGAAGCAACGAAGAGGAGAGAAGGTGTCTAAGGGAGGGAAGAGTAAATTGTGTGACAAAGGTTCTGGAGAAGATGGGGAGGAACACAGTGCACAGAAGCAAAGTACTGAGCCCTGTCCTCCCTGTGATGGGGAAAGGTGAACTTCAGTGAAGGCTGCTGGGAAAACAGCGGGCGTGTGAGTTCAGCAGTTCACCTTCCCAGTTAGGGGTGAGTGAAGGAGCTCGCGAGGGCATTGTGATCCCTGTGAGATGTGCCATGAGATCAGGAGAAGGTCTGGAGAGAGGAGTGGGGAAAGGAGCAGGAAGTGGCCATTCAGAGAAAGAGGGGGAAATGCTCTAGCCCTGAGGGTTTGAAGTGTAGTGGGGACTCCTGTCTGCCGGGGGCCTCACCGGCCAGCTTCTGCTGCTGTTGGGCATCTTCGAGACAGTCTTTCAGCTTCTGGATTTCAGCTCGCAGGGCCCCACACTCTGCCCTGGACTTATCCTGCTTCACCTCCTGGAGGGTGATTTCAAGTTCTGTTGTCATTCGTTGCTGCTTCTCCAACTCCATCTCCTTTTTCATGAGGCTGTTCTGAACCTGTGCCAGTTCCTTCTCGAGCTCATGCAGCATTTCATCTTTCTCTTGGAGGAGCTAAAGAAAGCAAAGGGTGAATGCTGATAAACGTCTGAACGGCGACCCAGGGAAGCCAGGTACAGATTGTCCTGAGCCCTCTCTAGCCACTAGCTTCTCTTGCCTGGGTATCACATAGTCTCCTACCTCTGCTCCCTGCCTCAAGTCAGGCCGTTCCCAACACAGCAGCCAGAGGGGGGCCTCTGAAAACCTAAGTCAGATCTTGTTCTGCCTTTCCTCAAAACCCTCCACTGGCTCCAAAAAGGCCACTGTCCTTACAGCAACCTGCTGGGTTGCTCATCATCTGGTCTGACCTTACCTCTTGCCACCCGTATCCCTCCTGGCTTCAGCTTGTCTTCTGGAATATTCTAAGCAGATTCCTACCTGAGGGCTCTCGCACTTGCTACTCCCTCTGCTTGGAATATTTGTCCTCAAGACCTCTGCCTGGGTAGCTCCCTCACTTCATTCACATCTCTGCCCAAATGACCACCCTGTGTGAAACAGCTACCAAACTGTTGGAGGAATTTATCAGTACCTGGCATTACATTATATATTAGTTTTGTGATTTGTTTATTGTCTGTCTCTCTGTACTAGAATGTAAGCTCCAGGGGAGTAGGAATGTTGCATGTGTTATTATATTCTTAGTGCCTAGAATGGTGCTTGGCTTATCACAGGAGCTCAAAAATACTGGTTGAATGAATATATGAATTACTCAAAGCTGTTTTCTCAGCCAGACTCCTGACGGCATGTGATTATCTCTCCAGATACTTCCATTTTTCCTAATGGATCCCCTCTGAACCTTCAAATAGGGAGCCTGAATGACCAGCCAGTCAATCAGTTGGACGATTTCTGCTATCTCTGATAAAAGTGTAGAGTTGGAACTGTGCTGACTACACAAACTTGCATTGGTTTTACAACATTTCTGTCCTTACTTCCATTCCTAGGTTTTTCCAGGACGTTGATTTATATTGGCAACTACAGATCTTCTAGGGCATAGTTCCATTAATATTTTCAAACTGCCGGATATGCATATTCATAAGATATTTGTCATTTTATATATTGACATTCACTTGAAGTTCTTAATAAGGCTACACAATATTTAAAGCATTTCTTTCCACTATCAAGCATAAACAAAAGCATAAAAGAACAATGCAAGTGTGTCCCAAACTCTCTATGTTGCAGGGCTGGGGAAGAACCTCTTATAGAGTCAACATCTCTATTAAGGTCCTTGGACAATGGATATTTTATTTATTTATTATGTGCTATGAAAAGTCCCAAAGAAGTGCTCAGAACTGCCTCTGGGCCTAAAGAACCTGCAGTCTCATTGTTCATGTGTTGATGTTGCCCAGGCAATCACAGTGGGTGCAGAGCTGCAGGGCCAGCTCTGGCCAAGGTCTGCCCTCACACCTGTCCTGTTGGAGGTTCTAACCAGAGAGCTCCTCTTGTCCTACCTTGTCCTTCTTCAAGCCCAGCTTCTGGGTCTCCGTGAACTGCATCTGTAGCTCCTGCAGCCGCCGTTGCAGGATGGCAACCTCCTTATCCTTCCTCTCCATATGGGCAGATGTCTCCTCCCGCAGCCCATGCAAGTCCAGCTCCAGCTTCATCCTGTCTATGGCGGGAAGGGACAGAGTGCTCCTTGCTCAGAAGAGAGCTCCGGCTTCCTTCTGCCTCTCCCTGCTGCCCCCTCCCCCAGCCCCCTGCTCCTGGTTTACCCTTCATGATGTTTTTCTTCTGCTCTGACACGGCCTCTAGCTCCATGCGCAAGTCCTTCACCAGGTTCTGGTACTCCTCCACATGCAGGCACTGGCTGTCTTTCTGCTCCTGCAAGTGCTTCAGTATCTGGGCAGGTAAGACAGGAGCAGGGCAGGATGAGGACATGGGGGAAGAACGCTTTCTAAAATGCCGAATGTCTGGAATTGGCAAATCCAGAGAGACAGAGAGGGGAGTAGTAGGTGCTAGGGGCTGAGGCGGGGAGGAGGGGGAATGATTGCTCATGCATCCAGGGTTTCTTTTTGGGGTAGTGAAAATATTCTGGAATTAGTGGGGATGGTTGCCCAACCTTGTGACTATTTAAAAGCCACTGAATTGTACTCTTTACATGGTGACTTTTAGGGTGTGTTAATTGTATCTCAATTAAACAAATGAAAATAATTTAAAAACGGATATGGCAGACTTATCACCCTCATATAGAATGTGCACAAAAGCCACCACTCCTTCTGCCCTACAACAATCACCAGTCATTGATGGAACACCTACTATGTGCCAGGCACTGTCCTAGGTGCTGGGGACAGTGGAATAAGAAACACAGAAACACGAACCATGGGAGACGGTGGACTCTGAAAAACAAGCGGGGTTCTGGAGGGGAGGGGGTGGGAGGATGGGTTAGCCTGGTGGTGGGTATTGAGGAGGGCATGTTCTGCATGGAGCACTGGGTGTTATGCACAAACAATGAATCATGGAACACTTCATCTAAAACTAATGATGTAATGTATGGGGATTAACATAAGAATAAAAAAAATAGATTAAAAAAAAAAAAAGAAACACAGAAACATATACTTGACCCCATGGAGCTGACCTTATAGTGGGGTGAGACAGACAAAGAGCATAAGTAGTCACTTGTAGAAAATGTTAACAGTTGACAGGTGCTGTAGAAGAAAAGAACAGCAAAAGGAGAATAGAGGTGTATGGGGGGAGAGGGTTGCCATTAGAAACAGAATGGAGAGTTTGGCCCCACTGAGAAGGTGCCTCTAAGCAGGGGCCTCCTGGAAGTGAGAGACTGAGCCATGTTGTAGTGTTGTAGTATCTGTAGGTATCTGCACACAGGGGAGCTAGCCAGTGACCAGACTCTGGGGAGAGAACATGGGGCGGGGGGCATGTAGTTAGAGGGGTGAGTGATGGAGACAGTAGGAGGCATGAGGTGAGACGTTAGTGGGTGATCACATCATGGGGGGCTTGTAGTCCTTGGGCAAGGACTTTGGCTTCTACTCTGAAGGAGAAGGGAATGGCTATAACTAAGAGAGGGTAGAACACATGGCCGAGGAGGAGCAGCTAGTCATCTGGGCATCAAGGGATAGTTATGTGATTTCAGAGTTGTCAGTAAGGGAGAACTGCAGCATGAAGACAGGGGGACAGCTGGAGAAATATAGGGAAGTCACCATATGACCCAGGTGTGGGCACTGCAGGGGCTCAAAAGCTCACTCTATGCCAGGCCAGCTGAGTTCTGGTATTAATTGTGACCTGGGTAGTTCCATTCCTAATAGAATATCCAGGTTCCACAAAAGCATTGGATAGGACACATAAAATGGCAGGGAAGAGTGTATGCTGTTTCTTGGGGAAGTCTGCATCATTTAAAAAAATGGTGTGGTAAAGAGGCATTAGTGTTTAGTCAATATAGAGTTTCAGTTTTGCAAGATGAAAAAGTTCTAGAGAACTGTTGCACAACAGTGTAAATATCATGACTGAAATGTACACTTAAATGTGATTAACTTGGCAAATTTAATGTTACGTGTTTTTAGCCACTATGCAAAAAATAAAAGAGTATGGGAGAAATAAAGACATTTTTCAGACAAAAAATGGGAGTGTTATGAGATCTTGCTATAGGTCAGGACGTGAATAACATGGAATTGACCTTTAAAATAAATATTGACAGATGTCCAAGGAGGAACTCCAAAATTCAATATTGATTCCTCATTCACTCAAACTTTCTGCATCAGAGAGTCCTGGAAAGAGGAGTCTCTGTCCCTGCACTAAAGGATGCTTGGAGAGCTTATATGTGTTGTTTACTCTCTTTGCCACACCCCCCTTTGCTGCTATTTCAGGATTAGTAAGCCTGCCCACAGTGTGGCCTCAGGTGGCTAGCTTTGCCTTGGACTTCGGGTTCAGGTATGACTGACTTAAGATCTCACCTAGGAAATGCAAACTGATGCACTCACTGTGGAAAACAGTATGGAGTTTCCTCAAAAACTTAAACATAGAACTACCTTATGAGCCAGCAATCTCACTACTGGCTATTTACCCAAAGAATACAAGAACACGAATTCAAAGGGAAACATGCACCTCAATGTTTATTGCAGGTTCATTTACAAATAGCTAAGATATGAAAGCAGCCCACATGTCCATCAATTGATGAATGGATAAAGAAGATGTGAGATATATATATATATATATATAATGGAATATAATTCAGCCACAAAAAGAATGAAATCTTGCCATTTGCAATGATGTGGATAGAGCTAAAGAGCATTATGCTAAGTAAAATAAGTCAGTTAGAGAAAGACAAGTACCATGTGATTTCACTCATATGTGGAATTTAAGAAACAAAACAAATGAGCAAAGGGAAAAAAAAGAGAGACAAATCAAGAAACAGACTCTTAATTATAGAGAAGAAATTGAAGGTTACCAGAGGGGAGGTGGGTGGAGGGATGGGTTAAATAGGTGATGAAGATTAAGGAGTGCACTTGTCATGATAAGCACCGGGTGATGTATGGAATTGTTGAATCATTATATTGTATACTTGAAACTAATATAACACTGTATGTTAACTAACTGGAATAAAAATGAAAATTAAAAAAAAGATCTCACCTAGGATAGCACTGAACATAGTTTTGACTATTGGCTGGTCAAATCTTGCCATTTGTTTACATGGTTTAAATGCTTATTCACTATCAGAATCAGTTTTTGAGATGGCTTTGAATTTTGAAAATATCGAGTTTTTGAAGGACTAAATTTGAATAAATAGTCTTTCCTAAATTTGGTTCAACTCCAACTAGAAACTAGAAAGCTGGATGGTCCTTTTGAACCCAGCAAGCCAACCAGAGTCTGTGTCTTGTTTGGGCATACTGTTGAGAGGGGGTTAAGAAGCAGGTGCAATTCCAAAATTCGGCTTTAAAACTGAATACTGCCAGACATATTCCTTGGGACTTGGCATACATTACATACAGTATCCTTGTAGCAGGGCCAATCAAGGTCACACAAATATAAAAATATTATGTAAAAATAAAAAATAAGTGAGAAAACCCAGAATCAAACCCAACTCAACTCGACCCCCGCCAGGCACAAATAAGCAAAAGTTCTCCCACCTTTTTAATGTCTTCACAATCTTCTGAGGAACTAGGAGGATGTCTGTGGGTGGCTGTATAGGAAGCAAAGTCCGCTTGTAATTTTATCAAAGCCTCTTCACGCTCTAGAACCTGCAAATGAGTGTAGGTCAGTTATGCTGAATGATCAATGTAATGTAATTATTACTAGTACTATTTTGGCAGGGTGTTCCTTTTTTCAGCCTAAGTTTGTTGTAATATTATGTAATTCATCACATACTTCCTGTGGGCTTGCAACAGAGAAAGAATTAGGTTCTCAATCTTGTATCAAAGTTCAGTAAGGCATAGACAGTGGTTTGTCTGGAGTCTGCCCGTGGCCACATTTTGGACTCCTTCCTGAACCTCTGTGTGGTCCAGTTTATGAGGCAGAAGGTTCTTTAGAAGCTGTGATGGAAAGACATCTAATCTATCAGAGGACAGGATTCAAAGTTCAAGAATTAAAGAAGGAAGTTCTTTATGGAGTGCGTGGATATGTATGGACTTTAAAAAAAATTAAAAATCATGAAATTTTTGTTCTTGGTTGAAAATAATTCAAACAAAACCGAAGCATCAAAAATAAGTGAAATCTCTCCAATTACTCTCCACTCTCATTTCTACTAGGGGGCAGTGCACTACAGGCAATTTACAGTAGGTACATCTATACTATAATCAAAGACTTTAAAAAACAAAAGTGGAATTGAACTATACATAGGATTTTGCAACCTTTTCTCAACAATACATCACAACGATCCTTCCATTTAGTTCTTATCGTCTGCTTAATCCTTTTTCGTGCCTGCATATTATTCCACAGTATGGATATTTCTTTTTTTTTAATATGGATATTTCTTTAACCATTTAAAAAAATCTCTTCAACCATTTCCCTATTGATGAGCATTTAGGTTGTTGTGAGAGATTTTAAGTCTCTTTAGAATCTCAAACTTAGTGTGGGTTGGGGCATGCAACTATGGAGAATATGAACAAAGGGTGGGGGTAAGTTTATATAAGACTTTGAGGAATTTTGCTGACAGAAATTACTTTAGGTGACTATTTTTCTCTCCTTTCTTTCCTCATGGCTTTATTTTTGGTCTCTCAGAAAAATATTCTAGAAGTCACTTACCAAAGCGTTACTGCAGGCTAGTTTATTTCGAAGTTCCTGGATTAGATCATCCTGTTCAGACACCTTTTGCCAGACTTCAGACAGTCGTTTCAGGGTCTCCTGATGCTCTTGAATCATGCAGGAAGATGTGTATATACGCACCTTTGAATGATCACCTTTGTTCTCAGGCTCCTGGGATATTTGGAAATAATGAGTTGGTTTTATTCATACTATTTGAGTTAACTTCAGAATGCCATGCACGTGGAAAATCTCTTAGGTCTATATTCTGAAAGTTCATGTTCACATATGTGAATCTTATCTTTCTTAACAAAAGAAAAAATTAACAAGTGCATACGCATGGTAAAAAGTTCAAACAGTTCACAAGAGAACATCCTGAAAAGTTAAGTCTTCCTCCATCTTGACCCTCCATGACTCAAGTCCTTTCCTCTGTGACAGTCTATGTTACCAATTTTGGGGGGTATCCTTCCAGGGATATTTTATGCATCTTTGTATATGCATATATACATGTGTATATGCCCTCTTATTTTTTTCCCCTACACAAATGAAAGTCTTCTAAAACACTATTCTAACATTATGTTTTCACTTGACAATTTATTTAGGATAATTTCCATATTGTTACTTGTATATTTATCTGACCTTTCTTTTAAAATTAATTTCAAATTGCACAAGTAATACATATATATGTATGTTATCTTTCTAAAACATTATAACATTGTAGGCAAGTCTAAATTTCTCTTTGACTATACTACCTCTAATCCCATACTTGCTGTGTTCTCCAGAGATGACAATTTGTCATATAGATAAAGTTCTAGAACTTTATACACTTACATACATATAAAGGAATCTGTAGAATACAGATAATATTATGTTGTCCTTTTAAAATATAAAAATAGATTTTTTTTTCACTCAAAAAGATGTCTTAGAAATTTATCCAGGTTAGTACATGTACTTTTAGCTCTTTTAAATTGCTTCTAATTGTGTTTATCCAGTCCCCTATTGATAGGAATACAGGCTATTTCCAAGTTTTTTTCTAAAATGAAGCTGAAATGAATATTTTTGCACATAAGTCTTTGAGTACCTATTCTGCTATATGTATGGATTAAATTCATGAAGTAGGACTGATAAGACATATTTAAAAATTTGATAGATATTACACAATTATCCTTCAAGAAATTATACCAATTGGCACTCCCATCAGCATGAGTATGCCTGTTTTCCTAGAACCATTTAAAAAAATGTCTTTCTCTAGGTCATCTGAAATCATGCAGGAAGATTACTACATGCACATAGGTCTGCACTAACAATGAAGTGAACTGATTTAGATAGCCAGAAAAGAGCAAAGAGTTCCAGTTTGGAGAGTAGATCTTTCCCCATTAAACTTGTTTCCCTAACTGGGTTTTTTCAGGCACAGTTGGAAATAGTTTATGAAAAACTAATGATGTATTGTATGGTGACTAACATAACATAATAAAATAAAATTAAAAAAAAAGAAATAGTTTATGTTCACTGAGCATGAAAGCTACCCATGAGCAAGCTGCAGAAGGGTCAGTGAGAAATCTAAAACTGACCATAAATAATATTCTTATAAATAAGTTAGTGTGTAAGTGGGCAAAGGAATGGAAAACAATAGAAAAGTTAAGGAACAGAAAGATGATATCTACCGGTCCAATGTCTTAATACTACAGGATGAAAAATAGAAATTAATTTAAAAGTAATAGAAGAAAAATTCCCTGGATTGAGGAAATTATAATCTTCAGATGAAAAGGGTCAGTTAAATGTTGAGAGGCTTAATGAAAAAAAACTAAGAAACCTTGAGTCTAAAATCCTCTAGAAATCAAAGAGATAAAACTGATGACTTACAAAAAATGAGAAACACCAAAATGTAACAATTCCTCTTTAATACTGGATGGTACAAGATGATGTAGCAATAACTTCAAAGACTTAAAGGAAGGTGTTTCTGAAAGTTTGTATACCCAGCAAAACTAGCAATTAGGAATGAAGACAATCTTGTTCAGACATGTGAATACTGAGAAATCTAACCATTCACCATTGTTTCTGAAAGAATTAACAAGTCCAAGAATTTAGAAGAGGTGGAGTATACTGCTTAAGTAATGATTAAAAGTTGGTTTTATTTGTAATCTTAAAGAAATGCATATTTTATATGTTATATAAACAGTTCCAGAGATTAGAAGAGAAATAAAAACCTTTCAACTCATTTATATTAAGGTAGCATAATCCAGACACTAATATGAGATGAGAGAACAAGAATTTGAGTGACGAAACTAATCTCATTTCTGAAAATAGATACAAAAAATAAAACTTTAAGAAATTTAGTATAGCATTTATTGTAATATAATGATATATTATTATTAAAATAAAGCAAAATAAATAAAATAAAATAATAATATATCATGATCAAGTAAGGTTTATTTCAGGAACATAGAGATTGTCCAATAAACGAAAATCTGTTAATGCAATTCACTTCATTAAAGAAAAAAACCCTCTATGATAACCTTGATAGCTGCTAACAAAAACACCTGATAAAGTTCAACATTCATTCCTGACAAAAATTCTCGATAAACTACATATAGACAGTCACACCTTCAACTTGAAAGAGAGTATTAACAAACAGCCAAGAATAAACATTATACTTAATAGTGAAATACTAGAAACATTTCCTTTAAAATGAGAAACAAGGCAAAGATGTTATAATTCTACATTGTTCTGGGGGGTCCTGGTCAATGCAGTAAGATGGAAAATAAGTTGTATTAATGTTGAAAAGGAAAGCAATTTAGAAATACCAAGCAGTCCACTGAAAATCTGGTCAGAGAGTTTAATAAGGTGACAGAACATCCTATACATCAGTAATAGTTAATAAAATTAAATGTATAAAAGATCTCATTTACAAAATCAATAACAACTGTAATACAGCTAGGAATAAACTTAGCAAGAAATATGTAAAATCTATAAAGAAAAGTATAAAATCTTATTGAAGGGTGCATAAGAAAACTTAAATAAAAGTAGAAGCATGCTATGTCCCATAGAATATGCTAATTTCCCCCCAATTAATATATAATTTGAAAGTAAGTGAACATAAATCTCAATTTTACCAAGAGAAGATGCACAAAAATGGACAAGAAATATTTGGAAGTCAAGAACAGGGAAGGAGGACCTGCTCTGAAGGAGCTATCAAAATATATCAGTTAAAGTCACTATAAAACTGTGATCTTGGTGCAAAAACTGGCAAATAGATCAGAAGAACAGAGTTGAGAAAGAGCCATGTGTACACAAGGATCAGCAGATATACTGAGCTGGCAATTCAAATCAGTGGGGAAAGTGTTCAACAAATAGAGCTGGGACAGCTGGAGACCCCTTTTGTAATTATGTGTATCTATAGCTATATATCTACATATATATGTAGGTTACATATCTATCTATCTATCTATCTATCATCTATCTATCTAATCTATCCATCCATATCAATTCCAGACTGACTAAAGATAAAAACTGAAATACAAAAATATAAAAGTGCTAAAAAAATGAGGTAAACTTTTATAATATTGGGGGTAGAAAAGGTCTTCCTAAGCAAGAAATAAAACCTAAGGGTGCCCGGGTGCCTCAGTCGGTTGGGTATCTGACTCTTGATTTTGGCTTGGGTCATGATCTTGGGGTCGTGAGATCAAGCCATTGGGCTCCGTGCTCGGTGGGGAGTCTGTCTGGAATTCTCTCCCTCTCCCGTTGCCCCTCTCCTGCTCTCTCTCTCTCTAATACATAAATAAATCTTAAAAAAAAAGAGAAAGAAAACCTAGAATCTATAAAGGAGGACTGCAAGATTCAACTCCATAAAAAGTAAAAAAATTTATGTATGGTAACAAATATCATTAATAAAGTAAAATGAAAAGTTACAAAGTGGGAGAAGATATCTGTAACATGTGTAGTAAAACATTATTACCTGTAATAAAAAGACTAAATACCCAATAAAAAACAGGTTAAAGATTTAAACAAGAAATTCATCAAAAAGAAATCCACATGACTGATACACTCATGAACAGTGCTCAATACTTTGTTAGCGTGGTGGGCACTGTGATGTGCCCCCTTCAGCAATGAGGGACTTACTCCCCCAGCTGCTGGGAGTGCTGCGCTGAGACAGCCCTCAGCTGTCAGCCTTTTCTGGGGATTGCCTGGGCTGAAGAAAACTGCTTGGCTCCAAGTCATGCCTCTCCCTAGGGGCAGCTCACATCCATAACTGATCAACATGGAGGTAAAAGGCCAGCTCGCTTCTCCCTAATTTGGGACCCCTTTGTATGTCCATCCAGCCCCAGAGCTCCCACAAGTTTGGCTGAGGCCTTTGTTGGGGCTGCATCACAGCTCAACTTCTCCCTCTGCTCAAACCTGCTTCCTTCTCCTTCCTTTTACAGGTGTTGATACCAAGGGCTCTCTCTAAAATAATGTACTGCATGCCAATCTGTCTCAGAGTCTGCTTCCTGGGGGAACCCAACTCACAACTGTTTGAAATAAAGGAAATGAAAACTGTAATGAGAAAACTTGTTTTTTTTCCCCCCTGCATCAGTTTAGCACAACTTAAAAAGACTGAAAACATACCATGTGAGTTTGGGGAAGTAAGTTCCCTTAATTATTGTTGGTAGAAGTGTAAACTGGTAGAATCTTTCTGGCATTCAATTTAGAAGTATCCTTTAACATTAAAAATAAGCATATTCCTTGACCCAGCAATCCCACTTCAGGAAATTATCCCATAGGAATAAGGATGTCCATTACAGCTTGTTTGTAATAGACAAAATAGATCAGTAGATGGTATAGTCATACCATAGAATACAAGGTAGTTACTAAAAGAAATTGTCAAGATATACATTTAAAAAGCAAGGTGTAGAACCACATTTATAAAATGACCCATTTATGTAAAAAGAAAACCCTAACCATTTATATATGTAACTGTATAGCAGAAGACTGAGGAAGATTCCCAACAGATTATTCGAGTAATTACCTAAGGGAAGGAGAGTAGGGTAGAGGAGGCTGAAAGCAGACTTTCACATTTAATCTCTGTGATTCTGTCTAGGGAGCTACATTGTTGTATTACTTGTGTAATTAAAAAAAGCAATTAAAAGAAAAAGAAAGATTTAGGCATTTTGGCTCTGCTTTGTTATCTTTCATGGGTTTCACCTCCTGTTAGATCCTGAAATCATGGTTTGCATGAGCCCTGCGACCGAGAAGAGCCCGCCAGCCAGACACCCATGAGAACATGGAAGATTTGAGAGCTCATTTGGTATTTTGGTTTTTGCCTTATTTGAAGTGCTGGCACTTTATATTAATTGAGGAGCCTCAAAATTCCTAAGTAGAAATCTTAAAGGAGATGTGAAGGCTGAAAATTGAAAGCTGAAGGCTACAAAATTCAAGGGAAGGAATGACATCTGGTTGAAGGTTTGGGTTTCCCTCAGAGAAAGCAGGGACTGTTACCCGGGGACCACCTGGGAGCATGCCCACTTGCTGGAGCTCCTGGGCTGAGTGGCCAGGTGTGAGTCCTACCTGACTGACGATCCCGCTGAGCTCCCCCTCCAACATCTTCACTTGGCACTCCAGTAACTCAATGTTGCTTAGGGAAGTCTGGTATTTATCCCTGTAGAGGCTTAAGCTCCTTTCTAGGGAGACAATCTTGTCCCCGGCCAAAGCAAGTTGCTCTTGTGCCAAATGGAGCTTCTCCCCTGTGTTCTCATTATGATTTCCCATTTCCTCCTCATAGAGAATCACCTGTTGGTGTAGGAATGAAACCACACTGAACTCATGGAAGCATCTGTATGAGGAAAGGGTATGGCTATAAGGACCCCATGCAGAGGAGTCTTCCATCTTCACTAGAAACCCAGATGTACATAATAAGCCCAGCACAGATTTAAAAGCTATGATATATAATATCAGAATGTTAATGATTAGGAATTAAAGCAAAAAGATTGTCATATTTGGGTGGTAAGCTTCTTAAAGGCAGGGACCATTATCTATTTTCCATTCTGTCTGGCATGTAGTAAAAAGTCAGTAAGGACTCGTTAGTTGATTAATGGGAATGAGTCTGTATAGCTCCATTTTTTTTTTTTTTTAAGGGCTTGAAATGCCAGTATTCTTTCCTTTCTAGGTATTCTCTAGAGATCTAATTTAGAAAATGTGGAGCCCCTCCTGCACACAGCAAAGTTCCTGAGAGATTGAGGGGGGACAGCCTCAAGTTCCTCTGGGACTTAGACAGTTCTTACTTAGATTGCTTCTTTTCCTAATCGATTAATTAGTCGATCAACTGACAGATAATTATTGAGTGCTCATAAACAATGTCTTGGGTGCTAAGGGGATATATACTTGTAAGACATAGGCTGCTCCCTTAAAGAGTTTACAAACTATTACAATTTGGGGAAGATATGATTTATAACTAGCCAATAACTGTATATAGCTGAGTATGCTCAACTGTATGGCTAGAGTTACATGTATTTGAAGGAGTTAAGAGCAGGAGGGTCATCAAGGATGGTTTCATTTTGGTTCAAATAGTTCAGTGTAGAATTTGGATAGAACTCGTTCTGTCGGTCTAAGCTAATTATGCTTGCTGCCTGCCATTTGAAGTTCCTCCTAGGAAAAGGTCATTTAGTTTGAGATGTTGATCAGATAAGGGGAAGAGGGAAGGGATATTTTATATTCAAATGTTTATAACAGAAGCTATCAGTGACTCGCTCACATTCCAGAGGCACTCACCATTCCTTTGAAGGCTAAACCCATTCCAACCACAAGCATCTTCAACTCTTTGCCTGAGGGATGCTCTGGCCTCAGGAGCCCGCTCCAGCAGAGGAAAGACAAGGCAGGTTACAAGTATGGGGGAGTTAACACCCTCAGGTGCAGCCTTCAGCCAATGCCTGGGGGGTGAGCTGGGATCACTCTGAGGCATGTTCTACACTGCCTCCCCCAGTTGTCCAGAGGGATTGAATCCCAGGGGCCCATGGCAGTGATTTTAATACTGATTTTCTTTATAGGCCTCCTGTCTTTTTTTTGACTCACTTCTCCACTCTCCCTCTGGGATCACCTCTTGAATTACTACTTTACATTCATCTCCTTGTCTTAGGCTCTGCTGTTGGGAAACCTAACCTTACACAGAAGTTTGATGCTACTGTGCAACAAAGTATTGGGGAAACTTGGCGGAATGCCTAGAGTAATTTTTTCCAATGTTTTCCCAGCTTGAGATCATTTTCAGTGACTGTTAGTTACCAGAACCCACTGCAATTCTCCCCCTTCTCCTTAGTAGTTGAGCCTTTACTTTATTTGGGACAGCAGTGCATGTCACTGAAATACATTTCCTTGGCTTCCTAGGAACTAGCTGTAGCCACGTGACTAACTCTGGCCAATGATACACAAATGAAAGTGTTGTGTGGGGCTTCTAGAAAGTGTCCTTAAAAGAGCAGAGTGTGTCATTTTTCCCTCACCTCCTTCCCTGCCCCCAACCTGATTGTTTGGAACAAGGATGTGATGGTTGGAGCTCTAGCAGCCACCTTGGGAATCTAGAAAATGGAAGTTTTGAGCTGATGATGGTGGACCCAAAAGATAGGACCCTAGGTACCTGATGACACATGCAGTTCCCTTAACAGTCCTAGACCACCTATCTCCAGCCTTCCTCTATGTCAGAGAAATAAACTATCCAAAGTCACTATGACCTTGGGGTTTTCTGTTACATGCAGCCAACACAATCCCAACTAATTCAGGGTTGCTCTATCCAGGCTGGACTCTTGTTTAGGAACTGGCCGGTTTTAACACAGCCCTGCTTTAGTTTTATTAAACTATGGTTTGTGTTCACAGGCTTAGTCCTCAATTATACTTTGTAGGATAGCCTTTCTCGGTTTCTTTCCCTCCCAATCCTGTTCAGCAAATTTTCATAATATCCCTTTAAAAAAATTCTACAGTCCTCTAAGTCCTCATAAAGCTCCTGGAATTCGTCCTTAAGGAACAGCACCATCCTAGACAGTCCTTGGAATTTTATCTCTAAAGGCCAAGGGAGAAAATGCCAGGGGAGGCTGTCTGTCTCATTACTTAGAACCCACAGTTTCACTGCTGCTAGCACTACCACTGCTCAACTGGTTTAAAATTCTATAGTTTGGTCTTTGGAATTTACTCGGGATTCCACAAGGATGCTCTTTTTGGTTTAAAAATAGCACTATCTTGGGACACGGATGGCAATGAATGTCCAAAATATACCTAAGTCTATATGATCTAAAATATCATGAATATTGCTGCTATGAGCATCTGAAAAAAAATGACTGATCTCGTACTCTCAAAGATCGACTGAGACTCAATGTCTGGTTATCTTATCAGCTATCCAAGTGCTAGGAATTTTTATATTATCAAAATCTGATTTTTCTAAAAATGCTTCATTTAATGGACTTTATACCTTTTTTTTATAACCCTCAGAGACCTAGAGTCTTTTGCATTTAAATTGCAATGATAATAGGATGGAGATGATGGACCTATATGCATACCACACACATACAGACACAAACATCACATGTCCCACATATATTGATACTGGAGCTCTCACCCAATTATGCCATTCTCTTTAGTTCCCTCTGTTCAGCTTCAAAAAGATTAAGAATTAAAGAGGGAAAGTTGATAAAACCTGCTCAAGATGTTGAGAAGCTCTCCTCTGTAAGGCCAGTGTCTGCTTTCTAGTAGGTGTGGCCTGATTTCTGTAGGTACATGGGCATATGAGACATTTCCATAGTTAGTGTATCAATACCTCATCTTCTTTCAGTTTGCAGTGATGGTGGAGAAGAACCAGGTCAGAAGTCTGCTTCTCTAGGACAGACTGATACTGCAGGAGGGAACAGTAAGAAGTCTGCAACTCCTCAGTGCGAAACTCCAGTTCTTGCTGAAGGGCTAGCAATTTTTTCTTGAGTTGTTGGAGTTGTCTCAGATGGCACTGTTTACTGGGCTCAAACTCCAACCGTGACTCCTCGAATGCTAATGCTTGTTTCTTATTCTACAATTGAGATAGAATATATGGAAAAAAACCTTTAGGTTGTCACTAAGTATGCATTCGTTCTTTGATTTTTTTTCATTTGTTCAACCATTGACATCCACCTATCCATCCTTTTATCCACAGGGCACTTAGTAAATATGTCACTCTATCTACAGTGAAACATCATTTTGTATTTTCATCCTGTAAGGAGGATTTGAAAGAACAAAAAAATCCTAGTTCTTTCCTACTAGTTAGATCTACCATTCATATTATTTAGGCCAGAAGAAAAAACATACACCTAAAGGACCTAGGAAGTTATATAAAGATACACACAATAATATGATTTTTTTTGGCTTCACAATTAAAGATAACCCAATTGATCTAGAACACAATGGATTTCTGGTCAGAGTTCTTGGACTAAACTTGATTTACACTTAGATAAAAGGATAAACTCTTGGGTGTGCTCTTAGGGAAACAGCTTTCTGGAGGGCTGGGAAATGGGAGGCAGAGATTATTCAGTCATATCTGGGCATTGACTCTGTTGTCTCCTCCTGAAGGAAGATGTGACCTTGTAGATGCTGAATGTGTGTGTGTGTGTGTGTGTGTGTGTGTGTGTGTGTGTGTGAGAGAGAGAGAGAGAGAGATCTCTTCCTGCCAATCCACAATCAACTTGAAATGCTGCTAGACCCATCCTACATTCTCAGTCATTCATTCAATAAACATGTTGAGCACCTACTTTGTATCAGGTATGCTGCTGGTAGGATACATCCCTGAGTTGTTTATTTCAGTATAGGTGAGGTCTTTGCACTGAAGTTTCTATATTTTCTTGCCTAACATCCCTGATGACATGTGGATGAAGAGGGTGGCCCATGGGCATTCCTTAATTCCCTTCTCTGCTTATTATCCTCTTACTTATTCTTTAAAATCCTGTCCAATTTTTGCTCTTCTTCCTGTTTTCCCTGCAAAGCCATCTTTGCACCAACACTATATTTATTGGCATGTCTTTAATATGGCATTTCACATTCTGCTTTGCATTGCAGTGACCTCTGTGTATCTTATCTTCTAATTAGATTATAAACCCCTGGAGGGCAGGGGCCATGTCCACTTCTATAGGACCTAGACTAAAGGTTTATACACAGTTAGGTATCGAAGGAAAGTAGGAAATTAAATAGAGAATAGGTAATCTCACTGGTTCCCCAAAATTTGAGCTTGTGGCCTTGGCCTCATTAACAGAGTACTTTCAAACTTTCTAAAAATTAACTTTTTTTTACAGTTCTATTGAGGTATACTTTGTATATCATAAAATTTAACCACTGTAAGTATATAGTTCAACGATTTGTAGAAAATTTATGGAGTTGTGCAACCATTATTAGAATCCAGTTTTACAGCATTTCCATCGCCTCAAAAAAATTCCCTCTCACCCATTTGTCACTCTTGTTCCTACCCCAGCTCCAGGCAATCACTAATCTGCTTTCTGCCTCTATGGGCTTGCCCTTTCCAGACATTTCATATAAATGAAATTGTATAATACGTCATCTTTTGTGTCTGGCTTCTTTAACTTAGCATAATGTTTTAAGGTTCATCCAAGCTACAGCAAGAATCAGTATTTTGTTCTTTTTTATTGCTGAATAGTTTGAATATATCATATTTTGTTTATCTGTTCACCAGTTGATGGACATTTGGATTGTTTCAGTTTTTGGCTATCATGAATATTGCTGCTATGAGCATTAGCATAGTAGCCATTTATGGATGTGATATTTTCCTTTAATTAATTTGTTTAGCAAACATCACGGTGCACCTACTGTGTGTCAAGCACTGTAGTAGGTAATGGGGATATAGAAGTGTATAAAACAGACAGAATCCCTGCCTTCATGCAGTTTGCATCTATGGGGAGGTGGGAGGCAGCAAGTTAAATAAGTAAATTATGTAGTGTATTAAAAGGAAAAAGCGCTATGGAGGAGAGTAAAGCAGGGGAGAGAGATGAGGAATGCTTGCATGGAGGCAGCTGTAATATTGATTTAAGTATTTTCATGGAGTTTGAAGACACAGAAGACACTCTGTACAGCAGGAACACTCCAGGGAGAGATAATAGCAAGTGCTAGGGCCTGGAGGTGGGAAGTGCCCAGTGGTGTCTGAGGAACCACTTTGTTCTGGCTGGAGCAGAGAGAGTAAAGGGGAGAGTGGTACCAGATGAGGTGAGAAAGGAAAGGGAGGTGAGCTCCCTTAGGGCCATGTAGGCCATTCTAAAGACCTTAACTTTCCCTTTCAGTGAGATAAAAGGACACTGGAGGTTACTGAACAGACAAGTGAAATGATGTCCTTTAGCTGTTACAAAGGACACACTGGCTGTTCTACTGAAAATCAACTGTAGGTGGGCAAAGATGAAAGCAGAGAGACCAGCAAGGAGGCTGCTGCAAGAATCCAGGCAAGAAGGGATGGGGGCATGGACCAAGTTGGAAGTTGAGAGAAATGGCCGGATCATGGATATATTTTAAAAGTAGATCTCATGGGATTGGCGGCTGTGTTAGATGTGGGATGGTGGGAAATGATGGTCATCCAAGGCAGGATGACTCCAAGGTTTTGGTCTGAGTAATTGAAGATGGAATTTTAATTAGAGTAATTCTGTGAGAGCTGGGACTGAAAAGAGGGAAAATCTTCTCTAGTGAGAGTGAGTGGGGGTGGCTCAGGCAAGATAAGGGAGGCTCAGCCCAGCTCAGAACCAGAAAGACAACAGCTGATTATGTCAGCTCATTCTCAATGAGAAGACTTAAAACGGACCACTATGGTCACCAGCAAGAAATCCTAGGCAAAGAGAAGCTGAACTCTTGGCCTGAAGATCTGGCGTATGTGGCTGGAGGGAAGTTAATGATACTTCTTTCTTAAGCCTAACAATGCTGAATTTTGTATTTACTCTGTGCGGCTATAATTGCCAACATTTATATTAAATGTTTCTAGTTAAGTGTTCTCATTCTTTTCAAGATAAGAATGTTGCTATTCTCACAACCCATCCATGAAGGGACTTGGGAGTGGCATGTGTGTGGGTGCTCATGCACACATACAAATACAGGGGGATGTTCTCAACAGCCCAAGAGTTCTGACTACATAGGTAAGCTGGGCGGTGGGAAGCTACTAGGAAAAAGACATGGTCAAGAATAAATACCTAATGTGGTTAGAACTAAAGCAAAGGAGTGAACATCGTGGGGTAGGGTTAATTCAGAGGACTTATTTTAGTGAAGCAGAATCCTTATCAAACTGTGCCCAAATTCTGTTTTTCTTGGCTTTGTTGAAGTTGACTTGATCTCTGACAATTAAACTGACTCAGCTGAAAACTAACTGTGGTCTCTTTATTTTTCATTCTTTCTTAGCTTCACCTTATTTTCATGTCCCTGTTTTCTCTTCATTATACAAAAGAATGAAAGAAGTGCCTTTTTTTTTTTTTTAAGCCAAACCCTTTCTTTAGGGCTTCCCCTTCTAGTATGTGGTACATCATCTATTCTTAGGTATGTTCATAATCGTTCTTTGGCTTAAAAGATACATGTCTTTTCCTGTGTGTATAAAGCTTAGCAACCTGTCAGTGATACTGGTGAACTGTTAGTAACTTCTCTTCCCCAGAGGTCATGTTGAATGTTTTGGGTTTAATTCTGGTTTGAGGTAACATGATAGACCAATCAGATGATGTGAGTTCATCCAAATCTTCCAGTACAGGGCAAACATAGCACCTGACCAAATTTGTCTGGTTACAAATATCCAAGAACTGCTCATATATGCAGAGAAACTTGAGTTTCCTTGGATGAGAATTTTAAACATTTGTACACTATAGACACCTATGGGTTTAGAGGAATCAAGTTTCAAAGTCTTGGAGAAATGCCTAGACTTATTTGAGACCTATTAAATTTCTACTTATTTATCCTTAAGTATTCAAAAGATTATTTTTCTTAATTCTAAATGAATAGAAAATGACATGCTATGGATTAAGCCTACATTTCACTCATATATGTGCCAGAGAGCAGTATGATAAAGGCGTCAATACATTTCCTATTTGCTTCTTTGTCTTTCTTTTTTAAAGTTTTCTTTCTAGTGAAGACTGACATTTTATTAGATTCTGCTTTGGCCTTTAAACTGAGATTTGGAGAAAATGAGAAAGTTGGAAGTAATCTTCCGGAAGTGAGATTAGTTCTTAGAGTGACCATCCACAGTTGGACATGATTCTGGAGGTTGTCTGGTCCACCATGTTTCTCAGATAGATTTCTATCCAGGCCTCAGCTCTCTCAAAAAATGGAGAGCACTGGCCACCAGCAGGAACCTGTTCCCATATTTAATCAATTTTTCAGCCCTACTTATGGTCAAAGAGATTATAGCTATTGCTGTTTCCTTGCCTATGTGGCTACTTGATCACAGAAGGAAATTAATTGGCCTGGCATGATTTGCCTTTTGAGAAGTCACTTTGGTTTCTACCCAATACTTTGTGCTTTTCAAGTTGATGCTAATTGATTGATGTTAAGTTCTATATTTTCCCAGATATTGAAGTTAAGCTGACAGGTCTATAATTACCAGGATTGTCCTTTTTCCCTTTTTAAAAAGATGAGCACTTCATTTACCCTTTTTCAGTCTACAGGGACTTTCTTTATCCTCTTGAGTTCTCAAAAATAATCACTAGCAGCTATGTAATAACACCTGACAATTCCTTAAGTACTCTTCAAAGTATGTCATCAGGTCCTGCTGATTTGCCTAAAGCCGGCTTTTCAAAAATACTTTTTAACCATTTTATTCCCTATTCTAGTTTGCACTAACTCTCTTCTGTCTCAGGTTGGCATTGCTCTGGTAACTGGATCCCTGCTGCTTTTTCCCTTTCATTTATGAACTGAAAGTCTCATTTTTCCCCAGTCATCGTCATGAACTTCTTTCCCTATCTTTGAGGTGTTAAGTGAGATATTTTCCCTGTAACCCTGGTTTAGCCTTTTATCACTAGATAGGTCTATCAGTTACTTTTTATATCCTCTACAAAGTACATTTCTTGTTTTGGTAGAGTGTAGAACTGGGTGTTAAGTGACATGCATTTCTTTTGGTTACATCTTCATGGCGAGGACATTTTTCTCGTCTGTGACCTCTGCTTATCAGAGAGTCCCTTTAAAGAAAAAAAGAAACCTCTTTATTTTGGAATAATTTTAGATTTACAGAAAAATTGCAGTAGTATATAGAGTTTCCATATACTCTTCACCCATCTTTCCCTAAGATTAACATTTTACATAATCGTGGTACATTTGTCCCACTAGGAAATTAACATTGGTAGGTTACTATTACCTAACCTACATCTTCATTTGTATTTTATCAGTTTTTCCATTAATGTTTGTTTGTTTTTTTCTGTTCTAGGATCCAATCCCAGATCCCACATTGCATTTAGCAGTTCCACTTAAAATTTTTGTTTCATTCCCAATGACTCAAAGTGATATTTCTGTGTCATAATTTCCATCAAGGATGTATTAACCCGTACTTGACTAGTTACTTTTATCTTCAGAAATCACACTTCTTTACATAGTTTTATGCTAAGAATAGTGTCCTTCATCCACTTCAAAGATGAGTTTGACAATCTGGTCTGTACTAAATATCAGGGCATTCTCCCCATGCCACCATCAGGGCCAAAGGGGTCTGGGCAATTGCTCAGAGAGACCCTTCCTTTTCTAATTTGATCATCCTTTTATTATGATAGCTCTGTTGTTCTTTTCTCCTTTCACTTTAGTAGAGGCACTCTTTTGGTTCCTGGGCAGGGTCAGGACTACAGTGAGGCAAGTGAGGTGCAAATTTTAAGGAGGAATTCTGTTTCAGGGTGGGGCAAGCGCAGAGCGGGCACATGAGGACTGAGTACCCTGTAAATGTTGCACCCTAGTGCCTCATTTGCTTTGCTCTCGTCCTATGTCTGTTCCTGGGTTTTGGAACATAACATATTCTTTCTTTCTTTTTTTTTTTTTTTTAAATCTAAATGCTATTTATTGAAAAGAACGGAGAAGAGATAGTACATGCCCCCTAGGGACAGGATGGAATAAAACAAGCAGTGCAAGTCCACCTCCTGCTCAGCATATTCTCGTTTCCCCACTGGGTCATCTTGTTGTTGATGGGCATCTTCAGGAAGCAGTCAGACTGCATGTAGTTAGCGATCTTCTCCAAAGCCTCAAAACAGCCCATGAAAGCCTTCAGATTTGGAAATTCATCCAGGCACTTGGGCTCAAACACACGGTTCTGATCTAAGACATCATAGGTGAGGAAATCCACAAAGGTGAGCTTTTCTCCTGCAAACCATGAGAATTTCCCCAGGAATAAGGAGAACTGTTTCAGTTGTCCAGGTAACTATTCCAAGTACTGAGGCTTCAGTTTGTCAAGATCAGGGCTGTAGCACAGTCATATCAGCTGCATTCGGAAATCCATTATTTGGTTCTCCATGATGTCCACTTGAATCTTTTCTTCTTTAGTCTCGCCACACATATTGTGCTTGCAAGATAGCATTGCTCTGGGTGATCTTGTTCTTATCATCCATGAGGTAGGGCAGGTTAGGGAAGTCCAGGTCGAGCTTGAATTTCACACCCAGCCATTGGCTTCTATCATAGTTGGGAAATTCCCCGCACGTGTACTCTTTCTCCTCATAGGATGTATTGGTGAACTCTAGGAGCATGCGGATGGCGTGCGCCAGCCTGCGAATATCCCAGTAACCCAGAACCATGGTCGACTTGGACAATGACATGGTGATGTTGCTTCCGGGCCTTCCAGGACTCGGAGAATAACATATTCTTGATTTACAAGGTTACCCACCCCTCGCCTGCCATCCCTGTACTTACACATAATATCTGATGTAGTATTTTAATTTTCTCTCCTAACTGTAGTTCTGAACTATGACCTCTGGCTCATTTCTCCAGATCCTTGTTAGATATTAGTCAACAATTTCAGAAAGTCTCAGGTTTCCCCTCTGTTCCCATATTACATTTCCTTGTAGAGGGCAGATTTTGCAGGGATTTTCTGAGTGGGTGAGTGTAAGTCTACATCTAACTGTGTATTTGTATGCGTAGTCTGCAATTTAAATTCTGCACTAAGTGCTAGGAAAAAAAGAGCCTGTTTTAAAGCTTATTTCAAGCTGTTAGACCTTCTTCTTCTGGGCAATTAGAATAATAAAATGCGATTTAATCCCTTTCTTCCTCCAAGTTGCTAGGTACCTTTATAAGCCACATGGCTTTCCCTGACAGGGGGAATAAATAAACTTGGACAGCAATGGTGAGAATATCCTAAAATGTTAATATTTAGAAAGAAGTAAATTATGATAATATTCTTCCTGAGATCCATTTAGGAAAACCAATGGATTCTTCCATGTTTGTGACCTCCTGGGGAAATGACAATAACACTCAGTAAGATAAGGTGGAATTGCTTTGTTGGTAGCATTTTTAGGGCATTGCAGAAAACCAATCTGTGGTTTCTATAGGGAAGTGTAAGTCCTGGAAGAACTCTAACAGACACAATTAAGAGAGACCAGATCCTTGATCACAAATGTGGAAGACAGTGGAGTCTTACACAGAAGCTGAGGCTAACTTGGGGGTCTGGCGACAGGTCTGTGCAACCGGTTCCTGCTTCATATTTGCCAAGGCCTCAAGTCCCGAAAAGGAAACGAAGACTGCAAGTAAGGCATTCTTGCAAACGCCAAGTTTTGAGAGAGCTATGGGAAAATATTTCCCAGCTGGCTCCCCTGCTTATGGGGATACATTTAGAGAATGGTTTAAAGACCCTAGCACTAGAGTTTCCACAGACAGAAAACCTCAGGCTGAAATGAAGTTGCCTCAGCTGATGAACTGCCTAGCCTACAGGTAAGTATTAGTTCAAAAAAGATGATCAGGCCAGGAGAAGATGATCAATGCCATTGTTTATACATGCACAGGACAAGGGTTACTGACTGTCTTGGCTGGCACACCTCTGGATAAGTGACGGAGTGTCAAGCACGAGTTTATGTGGGAAGTGATCTCAGGAAACTCAGGTAGGCTGGTGGAGAAATGAGACAAGGAAAGGAAGGGAACTGCAGAAAGACGTGTTATCAAGCTAGTTCCCACGGTGGGCATCTGGCGCAGGATCCTGTTGAGGAATGCCAGGATAGAGCAAAGGGCATGCCTGCAGGGTTCTATGGCTGAGGAGCAAGAATGAGAGGTTATATAACCACCTCGCTGTCAGTCATTGGCAGAGGGCTGCTTTTGGGGGCATTAGCCATTCCCCATTTGAGCTTGTCCAGTGATTGGGTTCCTGCATCCAGAAGGAAAGCTTGTAGGCAGAGAGCTGCCAACAGGGCAACAAAGATCACCTGCTGCACTGATGAGCAGTGATACCTCTGAGCAAGTGGGACAGTTGTTATTTTCATGGTTGACTTAGAAGTTTGTCTAAAATCCATTAGGAGATGCTACTCTCCTTATATAACTATGATTTGGTCTTTTCAGGGCAATGGGCCTCAGGTGCTGCAAATCCAGGTGTGAAAGACCAGATAAGGAAAAGACAGGGCCTAAAATGTAGATGACCTTGGAGACAGCTAAATGGAAAAATCCTGAGGGCAGGGATGACGGGTTTTCGTGTGTGTGTGTGTGTTATAGGGTACGTGTGTTTAATTCTCTCTCATTGCCTGCTTAATAAATGCTCTTGAATGACTAGTGGAAGAATTTTCTATTACTGTTCCTCCCCAAGGGAACAGAGGTGGAAGTTGAAGGAGCAGAGGTGGGTAGCAGCTGCTGAATCCCTTACGTGGTTGCCGCTCATCATCGCCTCCTCCACGCAGAGCTGATTCTCCTGCAAGGTCTTCCCCTGTCTCTTGCAGACATCGTGCAGATTTTTGATGTCAACTTGCAGGCTCAAGAGCTTGTTGTTCAGGCTGCTCACTTCTCTGTCTCTCTCCCCCGCCTAGGCAGTCAGAAAAACAAAAGCATCAATTATAAACTATCAAGAAAATGCTTACTTTCGTTCACTTAACTGGTTGACAGAGACTTTAAATTTGCTGGAAATTTGTCCATCAACTCTTAGCTGTTATTACTCATCCAGTATAACATTTACACAGTATCCATTTGCGAGGTGTCTGAGTGCTCTGCATTATTCAGACAATTACTTATTTACATTAATTAATCTTCACCCACTACTGTGGGTACATCGCAGACATTTCCCCTGTTTTTCAAGAGGAAGTCAGTGCCTAGAATAATTCCAGGCACCTAGCAGACTGTCTATAAATATTAATGGTTCTGCCACTGATGAAATGAACATAGTGAAATGTCAAATGAACTTGTCAGGACTATAGTGAATCAGTGATGGAGCTGATGCGGGTTCTGAAGTGTCTTAACTTTCTCTTCTACTTACTAAACCAAAAGACCTCCCTTACCTGTAAACCTAGTGCTTTTCTGTGGAGATGTACACCAAGGAGAATAAAAATAAAACCCCTGGGCTGATTGCATAAAATAATCTGCCTTTGATTACAAGTGAAAAAGATGAGCTAATTATAGGTCAGAATGGAAATTAATGATCGAGATCAAAATAGTGTGGAGCATAGCAACTTGGGTGGGGTTGGAGGTGGAGCCTGTGGTAAGAAAGTGGGTGCCCCATCACACTAGGATGCCACCTTCTACTCCCAGTGTTTGTGGGTGGCAATGGTATGAAAAGAAATTGTGAACCTGTCCAGTGGCTTAATCCTATCACTGTGCAGATTCTTCATAACACTCAAGAGGACAGGTCCTACCACCACTGAGTTTTAGATGCTGGAACTGAGGCTGCTATTTGTATGGTAGATGCTTGCCTTATGTTAGATTATACAGAGCAGACTCTTCAGTGAGGATTCCTGGCACCTATTAAAGAAGCACTCCCGAGAGAAATCAACAAGGAAGTGGAGGAAGCCTGACAGGAAAGAGCACGAAACCAACGAAGGCCATGATTTCAGACAAAGTCCTGCAGGCAGTAGCTTCAGCCTGATCCCACAGGGAACTCTGGAGTGTAAGTTACACCTCAGAGTTTGTCTTGATTAGTTGCAAAAGCTGGGCTGTCAGACTCATTATCAGTCAGTCAGTAGCTAAGGGCTGCCCTGTGGGATATAAGCTCCCAAGGACTTCCAGCTCTCTGCTTCTATGAGCAAAGTAACCCCAATAGCCCAAGGGCAATTCTTCTAAGAGAGTTTCAGGTGCAAAAGCACACAGAAGACATGGGTGCACAGAAATGCTAAAGTGATCCAAACGACAATGCCCAAGGTCCTATAGCTGGTTAGCAGCAGAATGAGGAGAGTTCTGCTCTCCTGACCCTGTAGCCAGTGATCTGCCACCATATCCCACTGATTGCTCTGGCTTCTTAAATATATGAGCTACATAACACTCATTCCCAGGGGAGCTGGAGACCTGATATGGACATCGTAAATCAAGCCTTACTGGACAGGTCAGTTTAAGAGACCTCTGCACAAGGCCGAGGGGGGCCAGAGGATAACCACGAGAATTGGACACTGCAATGTCAGAGTATTCGGAATTCAGAAGGTTTCCCAGAAGTGCTGCTGTCTCAGCTGATTTATTTCTTCATTTCCATTTAGTACCTGGATTTTTTTTTTTTTTTTTTACCACTTTACAGTTTAATTAGGTTAACGGCATGGCTCTGTCATTAAAAGGATTTCATTATCTCAAAACTCTCTCTCTTCCTCTCTTGTTCCCATCCCTTGTTCCTCACTTTCAGAAAAATAACAGTGGATGTCAACTGCCCCAAGCACGTAATTACCATTACTACAATTTACCAGGGACTCTCTTAAGAGAATGTGTGTAGAGCAGCTAAAAACAAATGGTGTATGGACACTGTTTTCTAACTAGAAAACAAAATCCTTGACCCGACAAGGAGCAGCAATTTGATTCTAGTGCTTTAAATTCCTTTTCTCATTGCTGCCACACTGGGAATAGGGAGTAGAGGCTCTCTGGGGATTGGGACCTAGGGATCTCCTCCCCTCTCACCACAGGACTTTTTCTTTGGCATCTATAAGCAGATTAGGTGACAATACAATGCCTGCTCTATGGAAGTGTCAAATGCTCTATCCTCTTGCCTTAATGTTGAATATATGCATCTTAAAGTGAGGACCATGTCACCAGATTGTTCCATAGGGAGCCTGGCACACTGTGGACTCATTAACAAAGTAGCAATGATATACAACTTGAGCCTCTTCAACTTAAAAGCTAAATGCCCTCTTTCTGTCAGGCCAATAAAAAACCCTTCTCCCTCTAGTTTTAGATGTCTTCTGAGCAGAAGCCTGCTTGGCCCCATTCTAATGCACCAACAGGACTTCAGAATTGGATCTTTAATGTAGATGATCTCATCTAATTTGGACATTAGCATTGACTCAGAGTCTCTGAGGCAGTTTCTTCATTCAGAAAACAAGAGGCTTGGAATAAATAATTCTTTCTTTGAGGATTCCGTAAACCAATTGAATAACAAATGTGTTTTGTTGGATGTCAAATGAAATTTGCTTTTGAAATCAAAACCTAACCATTCACTCCAAAAGTCCAAATCATACAGGGGTTTTTATTCATCAGAACAGGCGTGAAAATGGTGAAAATGCTGGGAGAGCAATGAGGTGACTCCCATGCACAACAAAATATTTTTTACCATAGGTAGTTGTAAGAAGAGGATGTGCTCACCTCAGAACTCCAGAAAGGCAAGTGTTTCTGAGGTTCCAGTAAACCTAATTTCTTGCTAATATCTTGTACAGAGGTCACTGTACACTATTTCTAATCCTATCTACTTTATGAAGGCTAAATTCCAGGCAGATGCCTCTTGAGTACCAATATGCGGCAGGAATTGATTTAATCTGACATTTCATCAATCAAAGCTCTGTAACCAGTACTGACTGAGGCATGAGAGGAGCTGAGAGTCATAATGCTGACCCTGAGGCACCATCTGATCCTGTCCTAGATCTGAAGTCATTAACGATGGCTGAAATCACAAGCCTCTGCTGCTAGGTGAGTTTTCATTTATGTAAGCCATGCACTTAGATACCCCAGTTTTGCTTATGTGAGGTTGGGACCTGGTCACTGGTTGAAGGCATGTGACATCAGCAGCAGCTACCAACTTCAGGCAAAATGGTGAGTTCTGGTACCGCAGTTGCAATCATGATAGTTATTGGAAAATAGATGGTTTACTGAAGCAAATTTTCTGGCCTGATCTGATGGGTCTTTTTCAAAGAGGATGCCTTCTCGAACATACATTTCCAAAGATAGAAAGAAATTTTGCTCTAGACTTTAAAGCATTGACAGATAGTCTCGTGCTTCTTCTTGGAAGAAGCTGATGTTAAACTGAGGCTTGTGATTCACAAGCACTCTCAGAAGTCAAGAGCGTTACAAAGATTTAAGATGGCAGCAGTCCATCGAGGATTTGGCACTTGAACAAGAAAGCTTGTGTGGAGGTTTCCAGAGTAATTTTGGAGTCAACCAACACCACCATAAAGATCATCATCTTTGGGATATTATCTTTTTTATCTGAAGATAAAGACAAATCTTTAACAAACAATGGAAAACCACCACTACCATTCAGCATGTTTCAATTTCTTGTGAGAGGTATGTTTTAAAAAGCATAAAACCTTAAAAATTATCGTTGCTTCAGGAATTTCTACATTTTACTTCTGTAATATGAGTTTACAGTTAGTTATCTACAGTAATTTCAAGCACTGTTATCAGTATTACTAACTTGATTCCTGAGTTTACTTTTCCATCAATAGAAACATTGCAGTTTTTGATTACTTATATTGGGAATTAATGGACACTTATACAAGGTTTTGCCTGTGAGCAAAAATTTTGGAACCACTTTTGTTCATCTAGTGAAGAATGAGTATATTTCATTGTGTTCTAAATTCTTTTTTTTTTTTTTTAAAGATTTTTATTTATTTATTTTGAGACAGAGAGAATGAGAGACAGAGAGCATGAGAGGGAGGAGGGTCAGAGGGAGATGCAGACTCCCTGCCGAGCAGGGAGCCC